AGCTTCATGAGCAGTTATTGAAGGCTCCACGCCCCAGGGTGGTGGCCAGTGTCTCTCTCTGCCACCAGGCACCAACCTCCCAGCATTCCCCCTGCCCAAGCATTTGCTTGGGCACCAAAGTCCCTGTAATTCCTGAGAGCCTTAGTGCCTGCAGCCTGCGAGGGAGTGGGGTGGGGCTGCTCTCTGCCCTTTGATCCCCATAAAGGGAGGGAACCAGCCTAGAGGGCAGGGGGCAGGGAGGGAGTTCATGGGGCCCCTCCATTTCACCCCTGTAGGGGCAGCAGGGCAGGGTGTGGGCATCTTTTGGGTGGAGCCTTAAGGTGAGATATGTAGCATGTCTCATCAGGGAAGATAGATGTCAGTCATGGATACATGATGTCACGTGGGAAAAGGATGGCGAAAAGATACTGGGGGGATGCAGAGGGTACCCATGTTCCAACCCATCCTAGTCCTGGCTTTTACATTCATCCAGAAACATTTCTGGATTCAGCCAAATTGAGAGCTCAAGGAGGACTACAACTCCCAGTGTGCATCACAATTGCTTTGTATATGCCTTGGGAGTTGTAGTTCCCTTGAGAAGCCCTGGGTTCTCCTCTTCCCCAGAGAGAGCCTTGCTGATGGGGTGGGGAGGCAGAGGACTTGGTCATGAATTTCCAAGAGGACTGTTTATGAAGAGGTAAAAGTTAGGAGGTCCATGGTGGGGAGAGAGGACCCTTGCTCCCAGGCAAAGGGGGAGGAAAGGAGGAAGGAAGGAGGAGAGGATGTCTGTTGAAAGGGGCATATGGGTGGGGAGGAGTTGGGGGGGGCAGTGGAAACAGGAAGGAAACTGAAGCCAGAGACATGAGGTCGGAAGCAAGGGCCTGGGGGAGCCCCATTCCGAGGCCTGGCAGGGACTGGGAAGGCATTTCTCCCTGCTATTCTGGTGACCTGGGGAGGCATAAGAGGTATTAGTGACATCAAGTGGTAGCAGATTGATGTATTTGTAGGGGTCAATGGCTCCATTTTCCTGCTATCAACCTTTTTTTCCCTGGGGTACCCTCAACCCCCCGTATCTGGCACAGGTATTTGGTGGCTGGGATGCTCTGAAGGCTGACCCAGTTCTGGGGAAGCTAGCAGGCGGAGGAAGGGGTTGGGGGAGGTCAGGGCCATGACTGATGGTGAATATAGTGGAGGTTATGTGTGAGGTTAGGCCCAGGTGTGAGGTCAAGGAAGGGTGCTGGAAATTAAAGATGCTGTTTTCCAGGGCAGAGGTGATGGCAGCTGGGAGGCCTCAGGGAAGAGGGCTAAGATGTCAAGGCCACCTGTCTGTCGCCTATCCCAGCCTGTGGAACAGAATGAAGAGGGCAGTCCTCTCTAGCCTCCCCAGGAAATTTGCAAAGGTAGCTTTTACCCTGTGCCAGGCAGCTTGTGAACATTAAAGACAGCAACTCATAGGGCCAAATGATGGCTGGGTACCTTTCCCTAGTTGGGGTGGAGGTCAGAAGTGGGCAGTGGTCCTGCTTCAAGGCTACTTTCCCTGGGTTTCCCAAGACTCTGGGACAGATGCTGACAGGCCCCAGCCAAGACTCTTGCCAAGACCCAAGCCTGGCTAGGTGTGTGTGGGGTCTTTCTTGCCCACCCCATTTCTCTTAATGGTGGATGACAGTAGCCGTATCCCTTTCCCCCCAGTCCCCCAGGCCTGCCTTGGCGCCTGGCCGCTTGTGTGTTGGCAGGACTAAGGGGGGGCAGGGGGGTGGCGAGGCAACTTCAAACTGTCCGGGCAAAACGTCAAGTTTACTCACGAGTTTACTCAGCAGGAGGGGGAAGAGGCCAGGGCAGGCACACCCCATGCCAGGGTCCTATCCGTCTGGCTGTCCCCACCTTCCTTTCCCACCCTCCTCTTCAGCCCTCGGCCCAAACAGGCACAGGCCCCAAGCCCTGGTGGCAGGGCAGTTTTAACTCTCAGGAAGGTCAGGGAGCCAAGCGGGCTGGAGGCAGGAAGCCCCAAAGCAGGCCCAGAGGCTTCTATCAGAGGGCAGTGCCCTGCCTGGAGCCCATTCACTACTACTATCTTAGGGCCTTGGCCTTGGGCCAGGAGATCTGGGTCTCTCAGCCATCAGGAAAGGGGCAGTACAAGGCCAGGCCTCCTCCATCTGATCAGTCTCCTGGGCAGTGACTTCTGAACCCAAATGACCAGTCCTAGGCTGTGCCTCAGGCACCAGCATGATGCCATCCAGGCAGCCATAGGGTCAGGGGCTGGTTCTCTCAGCCTTGGCTGGGAATAGGGGGCCAGAGCCCTATCTGACCTACTTCCCTTTCCTCCCCACCTGCTTTCATTCTCTGCATCTCTCCCCCAGCCTTCACTATCCCCACCCCAGAGGCGCTCCGCCCCCCCATGCCTGCTGGCCCCCCTCCCCCACCCTTCCCCAGGGTGCCAAGTGCAAGCACACAAAGGGCCCGATGGTGCATTGTTAGCCCAGCCCCCGCTGCCCGCCGCGCCCTCCCAGGGCGGGCACTAGGCCAAGGAGGAGCTGGGGGCCCTGAGTGCCAGGGGGCACCATGGGGAAAGGGGAAGAGGACAGCACCTGTCTCCCAGACATTGGGGTCCATATCAGCCAGGGCTGAGTAGTGATAAGAGTGCCCCAATAGAACAGGCCGCTCTCCTTGATACCTGAGCCTAGTGGGCACTGCCTTCTTTCTTCCCCAGAGCTTCTTTCTATTAACCCCTTTCTGACCCCTGTGCCAAGGCTGAGGGGTGTGGTTCCCAAAGGAGGGGACAGTGTCTGGGGGTGCCAACAGGCTGCATCGTGCCCACAGCAACCATGCAACAGAAGTACGCTGGGGGAGCCGGGGTCCCAGGGGCCAGGGACAGAAGGTACTGACAGAGATTTCTTCTTGTTTCATCACCTGCTCCAGGGGGAGCCCCCTGCCCTTCTTCCCAGTTACCACTAAGGAGGAATACTAACTACCACCCAAACCTAGTCACAAATATGTCTCTCTCCAGCGCAGCATAACACTCCTTAATGCCTACTCTCTCCTCCCAACCTGATGTCCACTTCATGCTAGCTCTCCCAGCAGTGCCAGGCGAGTACAGGGGTGACCAAACCAGTTGGTGTGTGTGGGGCAGCAGGAGACAACCCCATAATCCTCCAGGTCTCACCCCCCCACCCCACTCCTTGAGGGAACAGAGAGTTCCCATCCTGGTTTAACCCCTCACTGCCCAATCTAGCTCCCCAACCCCGGATAAACTGTCTCCCTCCTCCAGGAATAAGTTGGGGGAAGGAGGGAATAGCTGCGCTGACTCATTCCCATTCCCAGCTGCAGCTAGGGGTCTCCAAGGCATTAAGGCGGGGGTCAATTCAAGAACACCCTCCACCTGGCCCGGAAGCCAGGACAGCCTGCCGGTCTCCCCCTCTCCCCAGCACCCACTTCCGGTGTCCCAAACTAGGTCAGCAGCGCTCGTTTCCTGTGGGTCAACTAGCACCGGCGCCTCTGCCCCTCCCCTGCTCCGGACCCAGGCTCCCCGCCCCCCCGCCCCCCAGGGCGCCCCGAGGTCTCACCACGTCTCAGCCGCCCTTTGATACGTGGGGGTTGTGCGAGGAGGGGGCAGGGGACCCGCCCTCTCTCCAAACACCAGCAGGGCCGGGGCGCCTGGGCAGGCACGT